CCTCTGGATACACATTAAAATACTATATATATATATATATATATGTATATATATGTATATATATATATATCTATATCTATATATGCAATCAGGGAAAGGACAGATCAGCTAAAGAAAGACAGAATGACAGTAGACTACCCCATAGCAACAATAGAGACCAGAAAACGCACTGGAATACTATTTTTGATGCCAACAGGAATAACTACCAAAGTAGAATTCTAGTTTTAGCTAAACCATCAGTCAAAATTGATGGAGAAAAAAAAAGATATTTTCAGATAAAAATTAAGAGAGTTTACCAGTCACCAGGTCTTGCTAAAAGAAGGAATAAAAGATCGCTTCTGAAAGAAGAACCCTGAACCTAAAAGGAAGGAAGAGGATGAAGAAGGCAAGAAAGGCCTGCAGAAGCATCCCTGTACTTGGGGTAACTCTAATTACTCGCTGAATTTATGAAACACGAGGAAAACCATTACAGTAACAGTAAGAACTAAGTTGGGAGAGGTAGAGAAAATAGATCAGACCGTAACACTGGAGGAAACCAACATTAAGATGAGAGGGGAGGGGCGGCCGGTTAGCTCAGGTGGTTAGAGCTCAGTGCTCATAACACCAAGGTTGCCAGTTCGATCCCCACATGGGCCATTGAGCTGCGCCCTCCACAACTAGATTGAAACAACTACTTGACTTGGAGCTGAAAAAAGATGAGAGGGGAGATTAGAGTTAAGGCATTGGAAGGCGTTTGTGTGATTCAGAGGGAGGGGAGAGATGTTGATTAGCTTTAGACTGTGTTTGTTAAATCTAAATAGACACATTTCTTTCATTTAAGGTAACTAATAACTGGAGAGAAACGGAGTGCAGACTTTTGAAACAATAGATGCAGAAAGATAATATTTGACTGCTATAATGAACAGAAGAAAACGGGTCCAAAAGAAAGCAAAGAAAAAAGCTAAAGGAGAAAACCAGGATGGATAGAAAGCATTATAAGATGAAGGAATCTGACTCTGCTATTCATCATCTTGTGACTCTTTAGTGAGTGACTCCACCCCTCTGAGCCTCAGTTTGCTCATCTGCAAACTGGAGATAACGGCACCTTTTGTTAAAGGGTTATAACAGCAAGTTCCATATAAGGGCTACCAGCAGGGTTAAGTGCAGCAAGCACCATAGGAGAGGGAGTTGTTATCATCCTCACAGTTGCTCTGCGCCGGGCACAGCCCCATGTGTGTCCCACACACTGTTTTACTTACCCCTCACCACAGACCCCCTCAGGCAGGTACTGCTGTCGTCATCACTTTGCTGGCGAGGAAATGGGCTCAGAGGAGAGAGGCTTGCTGAGGTCTCACAGCTGGGGAATGGCTGAGCCTGGACACAAAATGGAGTTCTCTGACCTGGAAGCTACTCTATGACTTTGAGAAGCTTGCTGGGCCTCAGTTTCCTAATCTGCATTTTGCGTCACAGGGAGGTCTAAGGCTGGGCAGAAACGAAGCACAGGGTGACCGGTCAATAAATGCTGTTATCGCCTGCATTGTGCAGGCAAGGAGCCTGAGGCTTAGGCAGGTCAAGAGCTGGCGTGACCTTGCTGATCTGTGCTGACCTGTAGGCATCAGGCCTCCGGCTGGAGTGTGAGCTCTAGGTGGGGGCCTTGTCTGTCTGGTTTCATTGACTCATACCCAGGGCTGACCTGGGGAATGAATGAATAAATGAATGAGTGAATGAATGAACAAATGAATTGTCCTTGAGTCCTACTCCACACGCACATCCATATTCCTGTAAGAATGTTCTTCATGCCCAGGACCCTGCCCAGCAGGAAGCAGCGCTGAGAAACCTCATGGCGGCAGGACACAGGCAAACCTTTCATTAGGATAAAGGAGGCCATCTAACGTCCAGCTGTTTTTCTCCTTCACACTTATCACCACCTGACACATTCTACACCTTCATTCCTTATAATCTGTTACCCCCAGTACCAGGGGAGCAGGGACTTGGTTCACTGCTGAGTCTCACATGGCAGGTGCTTAGAAACATCTGTTGTTGAAGTGATGTCACTCTCTGAGCCTCAGTTTCCTCATCTGCACAACTGGAGGATGACGCCACCATGCAGCTGTTGCGGGGGCGCAAAGAAACTCTGCCCTTTGCCAGGGTGACTGACACAGGCACTGGCCAGGGGTTGTTCCCAGGCGTGTGTAAGAAGTGGATTTTGTGGACATCGCAGTGATAATAAAACTTGGATGAGAGAGCTTCCTGCAGTCAAGCTTTATTTTATCAGAAAAATAAGAAATTATCAAACTGGCTCAAGCAGTCCATCAGGGAAATTTCCAAAGGAACGACGAGGCAAGAAGCCTCTCTCTCCAGAGACAGCCTCTGCTTTATCTTTACTCTTCGCTTAGTTGATAACAGCAGCAACTGTGTGTTGAGTGTTTGCAGCATCCCAAGGGCTGCGCTGTTTTATCCACATTCTTTTACTTACACCTGTGACAGCGGCACCATCGCCCACTTCAGAAATGAGGAGTCGGAGGTTTGGAAGGTGAAGAGAAACCTGCACAAGGACGTGGCTGAGCTGAGACCATCCACATCTGTCTGACACTCTGAACCCTCCTGTTCTTTGCTCCTTAAATACCCGGAAACCTCCAGTTCTTTCATTATCAAATATGTTCCCTAACAGGAGTCAGTGCATAATATGATAAGGTCATTTTAAACGTCTGTTCATATAGAAGGAACCATGATCTCATTTCCTAGGAGCCACTGCTGCCCATTTCTTCTTCAATTATTATACCTTCTTCTACCTCTAAGGACAGTTTGTGATAATCAAGGGCAATTTGAGGAATTCGGCAAACATAAAAAGAGGAGCCCTGGCCGCCTGTGTCCTTGGAGGTGTCCTTGGCAGTCTCATACCTCAGCTAAGCAGGAACCCCCTGATCCAGTTCCTGGGGAACTGGCTAGGGCTGCCCCCCTGAGACTGGACTTGCTGGGAGAGCAGAGGGCGTGTAGGACTCGGGGCCAGCACAGCCCCGCTGGGCAGAGCTCGTGTATGTGACAGGCCGGATGGTCCCTAGGTCTCTATGCCCAACATCATCGGCTGAGATAGGAGATAGACAGGTCCTGGAAATGGCGGAGGATCTTATAGGTGAGAGACCTTGAGGTAGCTATGGTCATGTGGTTTCCTGGGCCCAGTAAGGTCACCTCCAGGCTCCTGAACCCCTGGGCCAGAGCGCTGCTAAGCCCAGCTGCACAGACTGACTGCGGTGCTCTCCCCTCCTGCTCCTTGTTGCTGATGGAGATGGAGTGTAAGTTCCTCCCCCTGGGCTCAGGACCTTTGTCATTGGCCCTGGCCTCCCCCTCAGGCTGGTCTTCTCCCATCTCACCCCTGCCATGGCCAAGTCTATCAGGGCTGATAGGGGAGGGACCGGTTGTCACCCAAATGGTGAAGAGGGCAGACAGACAAGGGAATGATGGACTGTCTGTTGCACCTTCAGGCTGGACAGGCCGGACCTCATTCGGTGTGGTTTCCAGTGCCTTAAAGAGAGAAGACCGTTGGAGCGAGCTGGGTGACTTGGGAAAGCAGATTCTGGAAGCAGGCAGAAATTCCAGAATCACAGGCGTGGATACGCAGGATTCAGTCTACACGATGGACAACACGGATGCCACTGAACCTCTTGTCAATGCTGGAGGTGTGAAGACCCAGAGGTTCGATATTTCCTCGTGCACTTTTTTGCTCAGAGCAGAGGCCCTCGGCCCCTCATCAGAGCCCGTTGGTAACTACTTACTGCACAATCATACCAGCTTGTTTCCATACTTTCCAGGCCCCCAGATATTAGAGCAGCACACAGGCAGTGGGGGAGGGGCCGAGTCAGGCAGACACTGATGGGGGATGAAGTGAAGGGAACACCTGGAAGAGCGTCAGAGCCAGGGGAGCCATGACAAGGTCCGAGAGGATATTGATGAGGGGCCATCTGCTTATCATACCTGGTTGTTCTGAAAGGGACTTAAGGCCACTTCTATAACCCTCACTTCACAAGATCCCTCTGTTCTTCCCACCCACGTTCACTGAGCACCTACTGCGTGCAGACACTGCGCCGTGTGCTGAGTGTGCGTGAGGTTCCTACACTCAGTCTGGGGGAGAAACACACATCAAAAGGAGGCCCTGTTACCCTGAGATGAGGGATGTGCCCTGTGCTGTGGGGGGCACAGGATGGGGACAGCGAGGAACTCTGACTAGAAGAAGAACCCCCGATTCTCCCAGGAAGGCTGGAAATTAGGGCAACCAACCTTATCGCATAGGGAAGGGACTGAGGCTCAGATGGGGGAGTGACTTGTGTAATGTCAATGACAGTGGATGGGACTACTGGGTCCCCAGACAGAGTCCCATGTATTGCTGAACAATCACTGCAACAGCTTCGACTCCTTTCCTCATTCCTGGGCCACACAGCAAACTAGTGATTATTAAAATCACGCTGGGGGTTTGCTACATAAAGGGAAATTACCTGTGACCTAATTGTGAAAACAACATAGTCAGTCTATTTAGCTCTTCCCCCTGGACCCAGTTTATGCCAGGGAGTGGCTCACTCCATGACATCATTGATATTGGTTTAACAGTGTTCTTCTTAAATCCAAACTGAAGTCACCTTCGGCCACTTCCCTGAGAGGAACATGCTCGTTGCCAAGAGCTTGGCCCCAGGTGTGAGTGGAGACACTTTGTTCTTAGCGTTGAGTTTTCTGCCCTGCAAATTACTTCCCCCATCACGTCCAGCCAGAACACATCAAACCATTTATCCACTTATGCATTTATATGGTTATTCTTTGCTTATTGTTTCTCATGCTTTTATATCTACTCATTCATTCATTCACTTCCTTCGTTTTTTTTCTTTTTATCCATTTATTGTTTCGTTCATGCCTTCACAAACTCATTCCTGTGTTAATTTATTCCTCGATTCACTCCTTGGTTCATTCATTCCCGCTTCCACTGTGTATCCTTTTATTCATTCTTCGTTCCATTGTCCATCTGCGCACTCAGCTCCTCACTCAGTCACCAGGGATTCCTTCTTTCATTGACTCATTGATACACTCACTGCTGAATGTGCTCATCCGTTCATTGCCTCATTCATGCATTTATTCACTATTCTTTGCTTTATTCATTTCCTCAATGGTTCATGTATTTTCTAATTAATTCATTCGTTCACACATCATTTGACAAAATTAACGTCTTTGTACATGTGCTCTGGGTGCTGGGTATCTGTCCAGTGTGACTCCTGCCACCTCACCCCTCCAGCATATTCCGGGCATCTCAGTAAAAAAGGGTCCTGTTCTTTTTTATAAACACACATTCGTTATGCCATAATGTAACATATATATATAAAGGAAAGCATGCACACTGTAAGCGTACAGCTCAAAGAACTCCCACTAACTGGACATACCCTTGGGATGAGCACCCTCCCAGAATGCCCCTGTGCCCCTCTCTGTTTCTCAGTTATCATCTTAGTTTGGGGTTCCCTGGTGGCAGAACCTATGACAAGGAGTCAGTGTCTGCGATTATGTTGGGAGGTGAAGAAAACCTGTGAGGGCAGTGGAGAGGTGAGACAGGAGGGTAAGCCCTCCAATAAAGGCCGTTTTATCACCTCAATTACCACTGTGGGTGGCCAGAGGGTGATCGGATGGGAAACCACCCACCAGGGCAGTGCGGGAGCTGGTTGTTTATATATAGCGCCTGCTACCTCGGCACTGGCGGAGGGCTCTTCCCAGGGCAAGGGCATTATTGCCCAGATGGTTAAATTCTGCCACACAGGGCATTGGAATGGGATTTGGTGACCAGAGAAAACCCCCCAGGCAACTGCAGGGGCTGGTGGCTGAACGTGGATCCTGGACTGAAGTGGTAAAGACAATGGCACGTTCATCATGGTGGTCCTTCCCGACTCCTTTCCACACCCTGCTCACTTACCATCCTCCGGCCAGGCCTCACCTAGACTTATTATCATGTTTGACTCAGAAGGTGCCTTAGACGCCAATTGGCCCAATAGCTCTATTTTACACATCGGGGACCCTGAGACTAGGGAGAGACAGCAACAGCTTACCAGATCACCATCCCACCCAGGAGTCCGGCCCTGCCCAGGCCCCTGCTCAGATGTGCCCCCCCACCCCCATACTCTCTGGGGTGATGTTTTATCTCGCCTCTGGATTCTGTGCCAGAAACATTCAGGCTCGAAGCACTGCCTTTGAAAAGCTGGAGGCTGATTTGCCCTGTGGCTCGCTTTGCTTTTTAGAGCCCCACCCCTCACCACTTGCACTGAAAAGCCACATTTGCTGATCCAAAGTGGCTGTCAGTCTCACTCCAAATGAAATACATGTGCTCTGTCTCCCACGTGAACAGAGCATACTGCTGACGCATTTTACATCCAGTTCAAATTCCATCTGGAGAATATATCAGAGGGGGAAAAGGTTGACCTGGGAGAATTCAGTCACCATGTGTTACTTGGATGCCATCAACTTTATTTATTTTGAGAAGAAGACATAGCCTTTAAAGGTTACCTTCCTCTTCAAATTGGATGGAGCACATGTTGAACACAGAAAAGGTTAGTGCCTGTCACTTACCTAATCCTGCCCTCTTGTCTTTCTCTACTGCTGTGAACATCTCACCCTCTGCACAAGGGACCCACTGCCCCTGCAACTCACCATTAGCACATTTTCTGTGCAGCCTGAGAGTTTGTCGTTTTCATCTCCTTGAACAGACTGGACCCAGCTCCTGGGCCAAGAGATGCGAGGCCAGGCAGCTGAGAGATTCCATTTCAAATATCTCAGCTCCATCCATGCACTACGGATGACAGCTACCATCTCGGGAGAGCCCACTGTATGCCAGGCACTGTGTCAGGCGCTTTCCACTAACATTCATGACAACCCTGCAGAATGGAGGCTTATTTATGGTCCCATCATCATCTCCAGCTGCCCAACTGGTCTCTGACTCCACAGCTCTGCCTGCCTGTAAACCCTATTCCACTCCTGCCTATGGGCACAGTGAAACCGACCAGTCTTGCTCTCAGAGTGAATTTTGGTCACTGAGCAAGCAGGATGGATGCAAGTTCCTCCCTGATCTCTAATTTAGGAGGTGGGGGCCAGGCAGTGAGTTGTCATGGCCTGGCAGCCCACTGCTGCAGGAAGGAAAGTGCATACTGGCTGGCGTATTATGGCTGGCAGTGGCTCCAGTGCCCATGTAGAAATATCCACTGGTCAGGTCATCAGAGAAAATTTGGCCTTTAGGTCCTCCTTGACCCTCGGGCCAGGGGGCGTGAGCGCTGGCTCATCTACCAGATGTATCTGGGACAATGGGCATCTTTTCCCCCTCGAGACCATGTGATTACTAGAATAACAATGAAAGCCACCATTTGTTGAGCATCTACTTCACTCTTTCAATAAATATCTACGAAGTGCCTACTATGTGCTGGGCACAGTGACTCCCACAAACCTGGTAATGATGCACATGGGTCAGCTGGAATCCCTGCTCTGTCCACTGTCTCTCACCACATGAGAGCTCCCATTCCATGCTCCAGCCCCTTTTGATGCTAAGTTTCAGGCACCGTTTTCCCCACTCATCACAGCTGGTCCTTGGTCTGCTCTTCTCCTTGGATCTGGGGCTGGCGGGAGGGGAGGAAACAAAGAGGCACATGGAGGACAAATCACAGAGCCACGTGGGGATCTCCTTCCTGTTTCTTCCCCTAAGAAATGACAAGTTCTACACAGATTCATTAAGCTCCACCCATAACTAAAGCAGAAGCCAGTTAGAGCCATTTTCTTATTTAGCTTGTACAAGTCTAGGATTAATCTACTCATCAGCCTAGTTCATCAGGAGGAAACATGCTTCTTCAGTTTTCTAACTGAAAATAAATGTCTCATTAAGTTAAACATATTAACCTGAGAACAGTATTGATGTCAGACAGACTAATGAATGCCATTGCAGGGAATGCACAATAATCCTCAGAGGGACCAGACTGGCCATTAGGAATTCTCTGCAAATGCGCTCAGCTATAGTACAAGGGACAGAATCACTGATGGGATGGGGGAAGGGAGAGAGATGGAAAAGGAGCTGGTGTGGAGCTACGGTCGTCCCTGGGAGTGGTGCTCCGATGAATTCCGGCACCTTTGAATGTTGTGAAGGGTGCAGGACCAAGGGAGGTGCTGGATGTGACATGACTCATTGTTGGGTCCAAGGGCATGGTGCTGATTTAGCCTCTGCAGAGGAGGGAGGGCAGGAGGGTCAGAGTTAGGGCATCAGAACACTGGATTCTCGTCCCAGGTCATCACTTCACAGGGGACGAGGTTTGGTTCCAGCTGATCTTTACTAAGCTGAGCACTGTGCTGGGCACTTTCACATGTGTGATGCTCATGCAACCCTCGCAGAATTCCAGGGAGACAGGCCTTTGGCCCAGGATTAAAGATGGAGAAACTGAGGCTCAGAGGAGCTAAGTGGTCACCAGTGTGTGGGTGGGAGACCTGAGGCTGAGACCCTGGCTGGCTGACCCGGTGGAGGTTTCCTCACCTGGCCTCTCCCTCCTGGTGGTCTGTACTGAAAGCCCTCACCACTCCATCCTCCAGGACTCTGTAAGACCTTAATTAGAGTTGTGTGGGGGAGATCTCTCTTTACCACCACACAAGGGACACCAAGGCATAAAACAAGTCACAGGGCTTAGGAGCCAGGGAGGCCTTGATTTAAATATGTCCCAGGAACACCCCAGCTGTGAGCCCTGGGCCAGATCAGTGCTCTGAGTCTCAGATTCTTTACCAAGAAAACAGAAATGGATACTGCCATCCCATAGGCTTGTGGTGAGGATCAAATGAGCTAGTAAAGGTGACGTCCCCAATATATAGTAGATGCTCTTACTTACTGTGTACTGGGTTCCTGGTCCATCCAGCTGGATTTGGTCTTTGGTGAAGTACCGGGCAGGTGGAAGGCAGAGGAGCAGAGCTGCCCTCCCTGCCATCCGGGTCAAACCCCATGGCCCACACACATCCCTCGGGGGCCTGGCATACGCCTGGTTTCAATGTAGAGATGACCTCGCCATGGTCTCCCTAAACAGGGAATTTGTATTTGAGTGAGGGAGATGACCTGAGGGCATTGGAGAAAGTTCAGTCCCTAAAGGTGGGGACAAAGAAGAGTGGGCGGAGCCTGGAGACAGAGGTGGAGCCACTGGGAATGGCACAGAAAATCTGGGAGGGCGTGGAGGTGCCTGGGCCAGGGGAACATTCTGTATAAAGAGCCAGGTGAGCTAGAGGCCTGGTCCAATGTGAGGTAAGAGGGGAAAAAGTAGAAATTCATATGTGCAGCTGTCTAAACTCCTAGCATTCTCTGCATCTTTCTCACCATTGATTTATGAGGAAAGGCATATATATACGTATGTGAGGCACGCATCCAGGCCATCACGTTGAAGATCTCATTTGACTCTAAAAGTGAAACAATCCCTGAAAGGTGATTATTATCAGCTCCACGTGTCTGGTGAGGAAACTGGGGCCCAGAGAGGCTGAGTGACTAGCCCAGGGTCACACAGCTCTTAAGAGCCAGGATTCACACTCAGATCTGCCCAACCTCAAGGGCCATGATTTCCCCACTGGCCATGGTGCCTCCCACATCAGCAGGTCCAGCTGGACAGTGTTTGTTTCCCCTGCAGACTACAGACATCCAGAAAATGGCTGCTGGCCCCTCTCCCACACTGATTTGACTCTAAGGTAGAATGCGTCTCATGACAGGAGGCTTGAAGATGCATGAACTCTTCCCAGCCCTGCCACCATATGTCAGCACAAGCCTGAGGGACCTGGCACAGACCTGCTGTGACTCCTCTGATGCAGAGCCCATGATCCCACCTCACAGAGTGAGCCCAGCTGTTCCCTGAGAGGTGTGAGCTCCCCTGCTTGTGAGCACCTGCTATCTCATAGGGAGGGGGGAGAGGGGGGGAGAGGGAGAGCTCTGCGCATTCTGGCTGAGCACTGCGGCTACAGCTTAATCGCAGGGGTGGGATGGTGCAAAGTTGTGTTTAATTCCGCTGCAATTGTTGCTGCTATTATGAGTTTGGCACTGTTCTCCCCTGTAAGCTCTTCCTTGGAGAGCTGCCTCCAGCTTTGTCCAACAAGGTAAAAGGAGGCGGGATCCTCAAGCTTTGTCAGAGCAGCAAGCTTCGTGAAGGATGTGTGATGAGTAATGGTGAAGGCAATGGGACCGTAAAACCTGGAGATGAAAAACCCTGTGGAGACACAAGTTGTCTTCAAATACAGGAAGGGCTGCCACAGGGAAGGAGTAACTATCCTCAATGTGGCCTGAAGGGCTTTCCAACAGTGAAAGCTGTCAAGATGGAATGGTCTACTTTGGTGAGTGGTGAGCTCCCTGTCCTTGGGGGTATGCAAGTAAGAATTAGATGACTACTTATTGAAAGGCATAATATAAGGACCACCTAGGTTTGAATCACATCACAGCTTTTGGGTGTTTTAGAGCAAATGGCTTTACCTCTTTGAGCCTCAGTTTCCCCCACTGTAAAGGTGTCATTTTACATGTCACGTTATGGTGTCATTGGGTTATTATGCAGTTTAAATGAAGTAATACATGTAAAGCTTTTAGCAAAGCTTTTAGCACAGGACTGGTCACATAATAAGCTGCCAGTGGCTGGGAGCTGATCTTATTTCTAAAAGGTGTCAATTTTTTTGTGGGGATCCTAGCATCATATGAAGCTTTGGGCCTTTGCCCCTTTCCAGCACTCAGAATCTTCAGAAATCACCCCTTTTTTCAGGTGTTCTAGAACTAGGGGAACATTTCTTTCCCCCCTTTTCCTCCCCCATGGCCTCTAAAAATGGTCTTTGCTAGTTCAGAATCCCCGAATGTCCCCCTTTCTTGATAAACAGTGGTGCTGAGGTGGCATTTTAGGGTTCCTTGATCCCCACTGTCCCTGTTGGGTGCCCAAACCAACTGCAGTGGGTGGGTAGAGGGGGGCTGTGGGAACCTGAGGCTGTTCCCAACATAGCCACTGGGTTTAAGGAACAGAGATCCCTTTGGGGGTGATCCGTGAGGGCCCCCTTTCCACCAGGAGGGGCTGATTTGCTCTAGAATGAGCCTCCTTTAATCCTCCTCTCAGGACTCAGAAATAAAGTTTCATTTCAACCACTGGGGAAAAATAAAATAGCAAGACTGATAAAGCCCCTACATAAATCCCACTCTAGGGCCCACAACAGGACAGCCAGTTAGCTTTCATATTGCTTATTCTTAGTCAAAGACCTTTACCTTTAGCAATTGGCCATTTTTCACTTGCTAATAGGTTTAATTTCCACAGACTCCGGGTGTTTCCTTGGAACTGATCTTCCTGAGAAAAAATATGCTTTGGGAGACATGAAATAACCATCAGAGCGCCTTAAATGAATGACTCTTTAATCCAGTGGAGAAAACAATGCATCTGAAACATGCGTTACGAGGGAACTGAAGGGCTGGAGCGCTTCTGGTCTGGGTGGGCAGGGTTAGGGCTGGGCGTGTGCTTGTGCTGCTGCCCCGGGGAACACTGCCCCGGATCACTCCTCAGCCATATGATGTGGCATTTCTTGCTCCACTTGCCACCCCAACTCTGCCCCCACAGGGAGAGGGCGTGCCTGAGTCATTCTCCTCCCATCTGGGGGCGTGATGGCTATGCCTGGAGAGCACCCGGGGCTGAGAACGAGCAAACGCCACCCTCCCATGACCAACCCAACCCCTGCCAGAGAGAGACGTGTCCTTGTGCTGCTTCCAGGTCCCCCGAATCCGCATGCCCCCCACTCTCCCCTCAGCCCCAGCCCACCTGCAGGGTGGAGAGAGGGCTCAGCCTGGACTTCTGTGTGTCTTGGATACTCTTGGGTCCCTTCCTCCTGGTTGCCAGATGGTTTCTAGCCCAACTTGAGTCCAGCAAAGAAGAGAGAGCTTCCCCGCTCCAACAGCTGATGAAAGCTTCTGAGCCTAACTCCCATGGGCCCCTTGGGGGTGTGGGGTTCCACAAAGGAAATTCTGGATGTTTTTCCAGGTACTGGGTGGGAAAGCCCCACAGATATCTTCTTCTGAGTTGGGATTGGGAGAGCCAAGAAAAACAAACCCAATCAGAAACCAGAGGGAAGAGGAGAGAAACACCCCACTAGTATGTATGGAACATGGCAGATCTCATTTCATGCTCCCAATAACCTAATGACTTCGGAACTACTTTTATCCTAAGTCCAGGATCCTATTGTTTCAGAGCTGGAGGTTATCTCCATAATTCCTTAGTCATGCCCAGACCTTGGTTTCTAATACTGTTCTCCAATAAAAGGAAGCACAGTACCTTAGAGAAACGGCTGATCCTAGGACTGAGAAAGGGTTCTACAGGGTGAGCGTGAAGCATCTTCTCGTGCCAGGAAGCAAGTGCTTGAAAAACAGAGCGATGGCCAGGAATACAGCCATCCTGAAAGGCAGCCCAAAACGGAACATCCAGTTATGGCTCTGACACCACTTCCAAGTTGAACTCCGCTTTGAACCGCTAGTGGGACGTTTTCTGAAGTGGTCTTTGTGGAGGACACTTGAGGAGCACCTATCACAATTCAAAAAGCACTTATCTTTTGACTCAGCAATTTCACATCTAGAAGTGAGTGATTCTGAAAAAGCTCAAGGATATGCCGGTATGCAAGGAGGCTCTCTACAGCATTACTTGTAATAACAAAGAAGACATTGGGGACACCTAAATGTCCATCAATAAGAGACTGGTTAAATAAATAATGGTGCATTCATACCATTGAATGCTAAGCAGCCATTAACAAGATTGAACTTGGTTTCCATGCACTCGCATGGGAGGATCTCTACAACATATTTTTGAATAAAGAAAACAAGCTGCTCGAAAATATGAGCAGAATGCTGCAAAAACATTCTATCCATATCCATCTTGGGTTGTGCACAGATCCATGTCTGGAAGGATGTGCACTTTTGTTGGGAGGCCCTGGGGAAAATTCATCATGAATCTGAGACTTATGTGTCCCTTGTCAAGGCCATTTGTGCATTAGGTCTCATCCTTTCTGGTCTGCTCAAAATGTCACTCAAGCAGCCCTCCCTTCCCTCCTGCATTATCAAAGTTCCCTTCTCCACTGGATCACCCCCATTAGTGTGCAAACATGCCATATTTATTTCTACAACCACAAAGAATAAAACATACAAAACAAAACAAAACTCTCCTGCTACAAGCACATTGCTTCGCTTTTTCTTTACAGTCAAACCCCTTGAAAGCATTATCTAGACTCACAATCTCCTACTTCTGTCCTCCAATTTTCTCTCACCACACTACTCTCAGGTTTTTACTCCCACCCCTCCATCCAAAACTGCTGCTGTGAAAGTTATCAGTGACCTCTATGCTGTCACATCCAGTAATCAGTTTTTAGTTGTCATCTTTCTCAACCCATCACTCCCTCCTCCTTGAAACCCCCACTTCCTGCTTCCACTCTCCCCTGGCTTTCCTCCTACCCACCTGGCTGTCCCTCTCAGCCTCCTTTGCTGACTCCTCCATGGCTCCTGGACCTGTACACTTGTGCTGTCTCTGGGCTCTGACCTTGGTCCTTTGTCCCCTTCTTCTTATCCTCCCTCACTCCCTTGGGTACCTCACCAGCCATGCAGTCATTACATGCCATTCGTATGCTGGTGGCTCCCACATTTCCATCTCAGCCTGGACCACTCCCTGAACCCCAGGCTTGTATATCCAAATACCTATTCAATATCTCCACCTGAGTATCCAACAGGTATCCAACATCCTTCACACATTCTGATAAAGACTGACTGGAACTTTAAATGAACCTCATCAGTCATGAAGTTCTATGGGAGAGCTAGGGCTTATGGGAGGAGTTCTCTCACTTTCTGTCATCTGTGAGAACTCTACAGGAAGAACTCTATGCTTACAAGAAAGCTCTACGGTTGTCACTGCCCCTCCCCTTAACTTCCTTTCCCCACCTCTATAAATACCCCCTCCATCTTGGCACACACTCTTCAGTGCATGTACGTGGCTTGCATGTTTGCATGCACTGGGTTGCAATGTTTTTTTTCCTGAATAAATCCTTTTTGGTGATGAAACACCTAGTCGATATTGTTTTCCAATCCACAGTCCCAACTGCAATCTTGTTCTCCACCTGTCTTGCTTCGAAACTTGCTGCTCCCACCATCCTCCTTATCTCAGTTAAGGCAAGTCCATCCTTCCAGTTGCTCAGGCCAGAAACCTGGAGTTTGGCTCGGTTCTCTATTCCTCTCACATCCCATGTCACATCTATCAGCAAGCCTGCTGGCTTTCTTTCAAAACAGTTTCAGAACCTGGCCATGTCTCATCACCTCCACAGCTACCTCTTCGGTCTCCTGACCCCAGTCACCATCCTCTTTGTCTGGAATGATTGTGGTAGCCTCCTAACTGTTCTCCTTGCTTCTTCCCTGTTCCACTGAGTCAGCTCCTCACAGATTCAGCCTGTGTGATCCTACTAAACTTGTCAGATCATGTCCATAATCTGCTCAGAAGCTTTCAATGATCTCATCTCAGTATGAAAAGACGCCAGGGTCCCCCCAGCCCTGCATGAACTGAGGCCCCACCCTGATCACCTCAACTTAACCTCACGCCTATTACTCTCCCCGCTGCTCCTCTCTCATGCAATTGCAATCAGATTGTGGCTACAGCTGGGATGGGGGCCCGATGGGGGCATCTGGGGACTGTCCAGGCATCTTTTTCCTCCCTCTTGTAATCTCAAAGCTTCTCTATTTTGATGGATGGGTTTGAGCTTCCTCACCATGGTGACCTTGGGGCAGTCAGAATATTGAAATGGCAGCTCAAGTCTCCAGCATGACTATTCCCAAGAACCAGGCACAGACTTCATTACCTGTTATGACTTGGAAGCCACACAGTGTTACTTCTGCTGTACTTGATTGATTGGCCAGTAACTAAGCTTACCCCATATTTGAGGCGATGTGACATAGAACTTACTTTCCTGATGGAAGAGCATCAAAGAATTTGCGAGCATGTTTTGAAAATGAATCACATAATGTGTATTATTCTTAAAATCTTGCAAGATTCTGAGTGGCCTTGCGGTAGAAAGGCTACATGTCTGTACAAAGAGAAGAAAACGCGAATTGACTGCAAATGCCTGTCTAAAATTCACTTTGTCTAGAAATTATATCCAGACAGACCGCTGTTTCTGGCCAAGATGGAGTCGCCTCATTCCTCCCAGGCCCTCCTTCTGATAACTGAAATCCCTGGACATAATGCAACCAAAATTCAAAGGAAGACTCTAGAAGGTGGAAAGAAGAAGGCAGGCTGCATACAATCTCAGAGTTTTAGGAATAACATGGGGGTGAGTTCCCTCATTATGTCCCAACCTGGAACAACCCACAGGCACAGACAAAAGGCAAGCTCCAAGAAAAGCCTGTTTTCCCCAAGCAAATAACCAAGGAAAGGGTCATCTAACGGAACAGAAATTATTCCAGCCAAATGCCAATAGGAAAACCTCTCGCACCTTCGTGGCATGACTAGAACAAGCAGAGAGACAATCTGCCCCTCTCCTCACACACCTGCAAAGTAAGTTAAGTGGTGGTGCTCTGATTCCCCCACTGGTGCTGTCAGCAGCGCCCAATGCTGAGAGGACATTCCACCGCCACCCAGCCTCAGCAATGATTGAATGAGGTACTATGACGCAGGGTCAGTTAGCACTCCACTCATCCCCTACCCACTCCCAGTCTCAGCAGGGAACAGTGGGGAGATAAACACAGACCAGGCAGCAATGAGATTAAATGAGAAAGTGAGAAACAGGGCTAGTCAGCCTCTTGGTGTCTCCCACCTACCCGAGTATCCAGGGGGCTCAGTGAGGAGCTGAGCCTTCACCCCCACCTGGAATTGACAAGGCAGAATGCGGTGGTTCTGCGGGGTAGGATTACCTGCCACTCTACTCTCCTTGCCCCATGTCAGTGAGGACCGAGTGACACCTTCCGGTTTCTTACGTGTGGACTGGAAATTGGAAGCCTCTAGAAATTGTTGTGGCTGTTGTTTTTAGACTTCTTGTGGGTTTTCCATGTAGAAAATCATGTCATCCACAAATAGGGACAGTTTTATGTCTTCATTTCTAGTCTGTATACCTTTATTTATTTTTCTTACCTTATTGTGCTGGCTAGTACATCAATACTGTGTTGGATAAGGTGAGAGCACACATCCTGGCTTTGTTCCCAGTCTTACGGGGAAAGCATTTAGTCTTTTACCATCAAATACAATATTAGCTGTAGGTTTTGGTGCTGTTGTTTGGGTAGATTCTCTTATTACATTTAGTAAGTTCCTCTCTATTCCTGGCATGTCCAGTGTTTTTATTATGGATAGGCATTGGACTTTATCAAATGGTTTTAGTCCATCACTGCATACCTAGCAGAATGGTTAAAATAAAAATCAGTGATAGCGGCGGCCAGTTAGCTCAGGTGGTGAGAGCGTGGGCTCATAACACCAAGGTTGCCGGTTCAATTCCCACATGGGCCACAGAGCTGCACCCTCCACAACTAGACTGAAGACAACTACTTGAGTTGGAGCTGATGGGTCCTGGAAAAACACACTATTCCCCCGTAAAATTTCTTAAAAAAAAATATCAGTGATAATAGCAAATGCTTCTGAGGATGTGGAGAAATGGATTACTTCATACACTGATGGCGGGAAGGTAACATGACACAGTCACTCTGGGAAAGAGTATAGCAATTTCTGCAAAAGTAAATCGATATGTAATAACCTTGATTTATGGATGCTTCTGTTTAAATACAGCTTATTTAATATATGAGGTTGATTCATGAGCATTGAACTCATGGCTCACAGAATTATAACCTATGCCTGGAAGACGCGTCTCTCACACATGTATTTTCTCCCTCAGGCACTTGACAGTCTTCTTGTGCTTAGAAACACTGGACCGCACTTCAGCGCTATGCTTGGAGGCCATTGTAAACAGCAAAAATCACCAACGAAAAGCACAAAAAAATGTAAAAAACCTGGCACTACATAGGGAAAAAGACACTTGTGTTAGCCTGAGAGCTGAAACACATCGGCGGAGCTTCACCTCAGTTGACTTCAGCTGGGATCATGTGCGCATTGCGCATGTCTTTGAGCGACAACAAAAGCACCACCAGAATTGATTTTTTCAGGTTACAAATAAATTTTAGTGAACATGCAACTATGGAATCCATGAATAATGAAGATTGACTCATTAGATAGATATTGAGAGAGAGAGAGAGAGAGAGAGAGAGCGAGAGAGAGAGAGCGAGAGAGAGAGAGAGAGCGAGAGAGCGAGCGATCCAGCTTTGGGAGTAAAGGCTATTTACAGTTGAAAGAAACTCTACAGTTTACCAAAAGATTTGCCCGAGGCTCCCTTGAAGTGCTGTGCTCTCCAGAGGCCAACAACAAAGGATTTGGATTTACAAACAGTTTCTCTCCATGCTCTGATTCCACCTTTGAGAGCTTGTTCATGTTTCAAGTTCTGTCTAGTTCAACCAGAAGCTTCCTACATGTCTACTGATGTGCCAGCACTGTGCTTGGCACTGTGGGGAAACCGAAGTGAGCGAGATAAGGTCTGTGTTCAAAGGGCAGCTGGTGCTGTCCACTCTCTCACAGAGGAGGCTTTTCAGGAAGAGCCGTTCAGAAGCTGGGCCAGGGGCTATTTAGCAAGTCCCTCTTTACTGTCCCCATATCCACTCAGAAGCCAGATGGCAGAGGCACCTGTGGTCTCACAGACCTGTGGGGTGTCCACAGGGATTCAACGGCAGGCACAGGGGCAACTGGAGGGAGGAGAGGGGGCTGCTCTGCCTCCCTCACCACTACCACTGAGCATCCTGCATAAAAGGGACATCTTATGAACATTTTTTTAGGTTATATGTTGGCAAGATGGTCTCTGGAGCTATGACAAAAAGAAGTATGTACATGGAAGCTTGTGAAGGTGCATTTTAGTTCTACCCGGAGAAAGCCAATGAGGAGCGAGAGGTTTCTTTTCAGAGTCTTGGTTCTCCACCCACCAGGCATGGGCCTTGTAGTTTACTTTTAGGGTCACCCGCCCCATTTTGGAACCTTCTGCTTGTCTTAACTGGGCAAACAGAGAAATGTGCTCCTGGCAGAGGGAATAACATGAGAAAAGGCCCTGAGGTGGGAGGGAACATGGCCAATCTGAGGTGCTCTAAGAAGGCCTGTGTGCCCGGGGTGGGAACATTTGGGGGGAGCACTAGTGGTGGCCATTGAGGCTGGAGAGAGGAGAGGTGAGGCGAGGCTGGAGCTGTGTCTCATCCTAGCAGCAGGGGGAAGTCAGGAAGCTGCTCTCTGTGTTGCTCAAGGAGATGAGAGCTGGGGGCGCCAGGAAGGTGGAGAGACAGAGCCCGCCCATTAACTCAACTCATTTAGCCACCTGCGTGGAGCACACCCATGTGGTTATGTTTTATTCCGATTTTCCAAAGTTTGGGGCCACCACTCAGGCCTGTCAACAAACTTCTGTCAATGTTTTTCTTCCTGGAAACCGCTTTGTTTGGAGACAGGACAGCGCGGGGCTCAGAAAGGCCCTGAAGCAGGTGCATCTTACCCCTGTTCCACATCATCCTCCCCTCTCCTAGCAGGTGAGGCAGCCTGGACCCTGGCCAGCAGGGGAATGGGGCAGGGGTGGGGGAAGAGGAGCTCAAGGCCGAGGCCCAGGTGCCAGCCTGTCGCAGCTTAGCAGTTAGTCCTGGAGGCTCCAAGGAGGTGGGATTCAGAGAGAGGGATGTACGGATGAATGATCAACATTGCAGGAGTTTCCCGGGACTTGGCAGGGCCCAAAGGTAGGGCTGGAGCTCAGGGGTCAACTGGGAGCACAGCCCCGGGAGCCCCGGGCAGAAAGAATGGACCACAGAACAGATGCAGGCTGAGGCCCAAGTCAGCGCTGGCCAGCAGGAGAGAGCACGTTGCTCCAGCTGATGTCATCTCCCACCTGCATCACAGGCTCACCAGGCATCAGCCGTCAGGCATCAGGCACAGAGCTTGCGGCTGCATCCAGAGCTGGTCCATCGCTTCTCAGCTTCTGTAGGGCAGGGCTGAGCCCACGGGTGGGTGTGTAGCTGTCCCAGGATGGGAGAGGAGGGAGCAGAGATAGGACCCTGTTCTGTCCACATGTCTGGTTTGTGTAACACCCGGCTTCCTCCTGCCTCGCTGTGGAAGGCCTGAGAGGGGCGCAGGCTGGAGCTCAATACTGGCCACACTAACGATAGTGAGCAACTACTGAGTGATTTCTGTATACCTGGCATGCTGCTAGAGGCTCACACATTTCATTTCCTTTCATCCCACGAGGTAGTAATTGTCATTATTCTTGTTGAACAGACGAGGAAAATGAGATCAAGAGATTTACCTGAAGTCACCCGGTGTGTAGCATGTAGAGCTGGGATTTGACTTCTGGTC